TCGTCCGCGTGGAATTTACCTTTTAGTTTTCTAAAATAAAAGTATCCTAAGTTACTCGTTATTACATCAGCTACCTGCCGATAAAAGTCCCGTCAAAATCGGTCCAGCCATTTAAGAGATTAGCCAGAACAGTCAGACAGACAAAAAATGTAATTTTGGTGTATGTACCGTATTTATATTCATATACATGTAGTAAAAAATGGTTATTTCAATATTACAAACAGACACTCCAATTTTATTTATATGTATAGATTTATTGAGGTTATCCATTGCTTTAAAATAAAGAGCAATAAAGTCCTCGAGAGGCGACCACGGCCCGGAAGACGCAGCGTGGGAAGGCCTCCAGCAAGGTGGACCTACGATCTGGTCAAGATCGCTGGAAGGCATTGGATGCGAACAGCGCAGGACCGATCGTCGTGGAGATCTTTGGGGGAGGCCTTTGTCCAGCAGTGGACGTCTTCCGGGCTGCATATATGATGATGATGACATAGGACCTTTCAGTCTCTTGTGCGTGTCATATTTTTTACGACTATCTAGTTAGTTTCAAGACTTCAGTTGAAAATATCTGGCAGAACATCTCCTTGAGGGAGGAAGGTGATTGCTGGTAATGGTCATTGGGCTCCCTAAAATATGGTCGAGCGTAGTGATGGCTGGCTCATCCGTCATACTCGTGAACGAGTGCTGCTTGTAGGGACTGGTCTGCTCTTATCACTACGACTGATTTAATCTTATTGTGTTTTTATATTTGAGCCTAAATAAATTAGTGCTGGTTGGTAGTTTGTATATGTAAATGTAAACTTACAAGGATTATTTAAAAGAGCAACACACAAGTTTCTTGTGATGGGACAGCTTTCCGAACGAGATCCGGTAGATACAAAAAATGTTATAACTATTTAAAAGTGATTAAATTAAGTTTATTTGAATAAATGATTTTCTATTCTATTCTAATGTACACTAATGATACCATTGCTAACTTACATTAATATACCATGTATAACTTAACTATATCCCATGTTAACTTCACCTGTACGAAGTTCCTCTTGGAAACTATCGTGATAAATTCTCGGTGAATTTGCAACTATAGGCTAACTGATCTGACCTCATGCTCATCCTATTTAAAGGGAATTGTTACTAGTGATTGCTAACAATCTACCATGTCAGGTTGACCTGCACGAGGTTCCTCTTGGAAACCACCGTAATAAAATCTTGGTGAATTTGCCCATGACCTCATGCTCATCTTATCATTCTCCACTGGTGCCCAGTGTAAACCGTTAGCGCAGGCGGGTGCACCATTCCATTATCAACAATAAAAAAATCTTGAGAGTAGTAAATAATAATTTATACGTATAATTAGGGAAAATCACGAAACCTGTTAGTGCAGGCGGGTGCACTATTACATTATCATCCAAAAATCCAAAAAATTCAAATTCAAAATATCTTTATTCATGTAGGTCTATTACAGACTCTTATGATAAGAAACTCAGCTTGTATTCTTTTCAAAATTAATTTGAAAAGAATACAAGCTGAGTTTCTTGTCAGTTCTTCTCATCTCGAAATCATTCCGAACTGACGGTAGATTTGACATATCATAAGAGTCTGTAATAGACCTACATGAATAAAGATATTTTGAATTCGAATTTTTTTGATTACAATAATACAGATTCATTTTTAAATTCAAACTTAGGAGATTAGATTGACCAGCAGCATCCATTAAAGATATCTCGTTGAATGTTTTAAATAATAATTGATTAGGACAAATCATTATATTTAACCACGTTTTGTTTATTTTTATTGAGTTCCTAATATTTCGGCAGTTTCAACCGCATGGCGTCTACCATTATTGTGTCCGTGAAAAAGTAACAAACATCCATCTTAGAAATACATACTTAGAAACTTTCACGTTTATAACATTAGCAAGATTTAATATCAATTATAGTGAGTCTACAATCATTACATAGTATTAAAACAGCTGTTTAAATAATAGATATATTGTTTGTATTTGCCGGTTCTTTTATATATTATACATTATTATGTTTAACATATATTATATTTCAATTGTTTTTTATAATGTTTTTAAATATTTATGTACAAAACAGGTTTTAAACATATATAATTTCAGTTTAACATATATTACCAATAATTACGAAACAATGAAATATATTGAAGTTTTTACAGTTTTTCAAAACAAAAGAAGTTTATATCTCAACTTTTTTATATCTTAACCGACAATGACCAATCTTATTTTTCCGTTATGATCATAAAGTTTTATTTTAAAAAAATGACTTTGACATCTGAAGATCAGAATGACATTGACTTCTAAAGATATATGTCAAACTGACGTACATCTTTAGGTGACATTAAATAAGGTAGTAATTTTTTTTTTTGGTTCGGTTTTTCCCTTTTTAGGGAAAGGCAAAAGGACTCAGCCCATACAGCCATATAAGGTAGTAAATGATAGTAGGTAAATGATAATTAATAAATAATGTTACAGTATAAAACAAAGTCGCTGCCTGTCCGTCCCTATGTATGCTTAAATCTTTAAAACTACGCAACGGATTTTGAAGCAGTTTTTTTAATAGATAGAGTGATTCAAGAGGGAGGCTTTTTTTATTATTTATTTGATAAAGGTAATTGTAAAGTGTTTTATACATTGACTCGCCAAACTGTAGAATAGTTTGTTGGCAAGATATCGCTTAGTTTTTTTTTAAATACTTCTCTACCCATAAACATCTGTCCATATAAATACACGTTATTACAGATAATTACATACAATTACAATTTTTATTTTTAAAGTTTATCTAAAAGTGCTCTTTTTAATTTTGATTTCAGTACTGATCTACTTAAATTAGAATTTCGTTGTAACCCATCTAAATTGTTATATATTTTTGGAAGTTTATATGTATAAAACATAGCATTGGTTAGCAAAACAGTTATTTTAATCATAGATGTTCTGTTCGAAGCCAGTTACGCCGGATATACGGCGAATGAGAAACTGGGAGCGACAGGATGTGAGCTTCTGTTTACAACATATATAACTATATAAAGAATACATGTTCTACATTCAATTGAACATCATAAAATCACATTTATAAATGTCTTAACATGTATTAACTACTAGCTGTACCCGCGACTTCGTTCGCGTAAAACAGTAATCAAATAATGAATTAACAATCTAACATAATGAAAGCCAAATGACAAAAAAAAACATAATTCTAGCTTCAAAAATGAAGAATTTCCATATAGAATTCCATCCGACTGAATCAACAGCCTAAAAACTATATTAAAACCATCTAATTTTAAATTCTTCCATACAACCTTGCATCTCCCCTATCAACCCCTTGCAGCTCTTTTTCGCATTAAAAAGTAGCCTATCCTAGTAGTAGTCCTGTCTCAGGGTTTAGACTATCTGTGTACCAAATTTCATTTAAATCGGTTCAGTAATTTTGGCGTGAGACAGACAGAGTTACTCGTTTATAATATTAGTCAGGACTAGTAAAGATAAAGATGGATTATGTTAAAGTTTTAGGGAATAAAAAAAAAGGTAAAATATTTATACATAACTTAAAAAGCTACTTATATAAAAATTGTTATTGTAATGGGCCGATGATCTGGTCAAGATCGCTGGTGGGCGTTGGATGTGAGCAGCGCAGGACCGATCTTTGGGGGAGGCCTTTGTTCAGCAGTGGACGTCTTCCGGCCTGAGATGAATGTTAGTGAACATTCGACGGAATAACTTATGATTTATAAAATCAGTATACATATATATATATATATATATATACACATGGAGCAGTAAAATAATATTCAAAACTAGCTGCCCCGTGAACCAGGTTCCGACTCAGAAATAAATAATGGATTTTGTTAAGTTTGGTAAAGCAAGAAATTGCTGAACGAACCCTGTTTGACAAGTACCAGGTTGTATGGGAATAAAGTTGTTGTTTTTATTATTATCTGTGCAGTTTCTTCATACTTAACCCCGTTTAAACCTTCCCTGAGTTTCTACGAATAGTTTAATACTAAAATTAAGTAAATCGATTCAGCCGTTATCGAGTTTTAGCGAGACTAACGAACAACAATTCATTTTTATATAAGTATGTATAGATAATTAAAATCTGTTTAAAGTCACTGTAATTCATTGTAATTCGTTGCACCACTCAGGCTGCACAGTGCTCTTATATATTTAAATTCAATGCAAACATAATTTATTCATGTAGGACATTTTAGCCTCTTAGGAACGTAACAATTTCTACATTATAATTTTTCCCTAAAGTTCAGTATATAGATCTAATTGAGAAGAACTGGCAAGAATCTCAATTGAATTACTTTTTTTTTAAAAGCCAGTTTATTTACAATGTATATTTATATAGGTGTCTATGTCTAACATTAAATGAAAATCCCGTGCATGAACAACTATTGCCATGCACGCTCGTCATTCAAGTAATCGTTTAATGAGTAAGGCTTTGCTCAGTAAATATGATTTAACAATTGTTTTGAATTTTTTAAGGGTAATTCCATATCCTTTGGTATATTATTGTAATTTTTTATACCTAATATTATATCAACCATTGTAACACTATGGAATTCAAATGAATAAATAAATGAATCGAGTCAAAGGATATATCGATTGTCTCGACTCGAACTGGTTGAGGAATTTCTCGCAGAGCACGCCTTGCGGCGTCCCGTTTCGGATTATTACCACTTGCGAGCGTCGTTTCTTCATTCCTATATGTAAAAGCACTTGATGTAATGCATCCTTTGTATAGTCACTAAATATGAACACTGGGAACAAAAAATAGAGCGGTATCGACGTAGTGGAGTGGCTCGCTCGAGCGTTACCCGACAGCGTTGTCCGCTCGAGGCTAGTGAACCATTTTAAAGACACTATTGCCATCGTGTTTTTGTACGGCTTCAAAACCGCGTACATACTGCCACTTAATTATTGAACACTCGTGTGACGGGGTGGTTGGGCCGCGTGGGGTGTAATCAACCCCCGAGCTCACCTGAGCCTCACTGGTGGCGGGATATTGAAGGCCGGGAACAATTTCGCGTTGGGACTCTCGAACAGCATTGCGATTGTTTTTTCACCGCGCGTGCATCGTGTACCGTCCACTCGGTGTGGCGGTCAGCCGTACACTGGCGGTGGTGCGTCGCAGGCCGCCCCCCTTCCCCCGCCCGCGGCCGCGGTCCCCCTCGCCCCGTGACGTCACGCCCGGAACGCTAGGCTTTTTGTACCGCGCACAGTTAATACTTCGTCCTTGTTACTCTGTAGCGCGACGAGAGAGATGGAGGCTGAGAACGAGTGGTTTTGGTCAGGTGGGATCCAAATCCAAGTCATTTGTTCAGCCCCTCTTTTATGCTGTAGGGCTTCGGTTCGCTTCGACTCTGTGTCTGTCGCATCGCTTTGAGTTATTTGAGAATATTGGGTCATATTCATGTTTAGAGAATTTAAAGATTTCAATTTGTTATTACAATCTATCTACACAACGGTTTATTACATTTAGTACACGTTTTATATCATCGTGTAATTATTGCCTTTGCCTCATTTATAACAACCTAGTCTAATCAATAAAAAGTAAAATCTTAACCTATAAAAGTATTATTGTAAGTTACATTTATTCAAATTTAGAAATTAAAGTGATTAATTAACAAATCGAATATTCGACGAGTACAATATAATTTTAAATCAATAAATAGCACTGAATGGATATTTCAAACTAGAAACCTATAAAATCGAGTTTCAATTCTTTGTGCTGATAAGAACTATAAAATTATTTATATTTACTTTTATATATTACTCAAAAACTCATAAAGTTACTCTATGCTCAGTTTCCTGTGCTTCTTATGCATACAAAAATAAAAAAGTAATCTTATTTAATCTGTGCTTGATTCACACACTAATTATAAAGACGTTTGTTATATATACTCTATGTTTCGTTATAAATATTGATGTTGTGTCATTGTGTATTTTTTTTTAATAATAGTGAAAATTATACCGATTTTTTACAGTTCAATTTTCATAATTTATATTAAAACTCGAAAATATATATTTATAAGAAATTTGTGTTTTAATTATTAATGTTAATTAATTTAATTACCGAAAAGAGATTTTATGAAAGCTGATATTGTAAGGAAGGAAGTGACTAACGCGATGACTGCGAACAAAGATGAATGGAAGTGAAAAACATATTACGACGACCACAAATAAATGGGATAAGGAAGAAGCAGATGATGATGTTCATGTTAATTAATTTAACAGATTTTTATCCGAAACGATTCTAAGTTCGATCTTTTTTGGAAAAATCGTATTTCTAATTGAAACTAGTAACTTGAAAATATATAGATTTTTGAGAAATCGATCTTTTGGATCTCGATTATTTTATGATTCATTTGAATTCGAGTCTATTCGATTCTTATATCGAAATATCGCCATCTCTACCCTAAGAGCAAATAAATAAATAGAGTCATGTAGAGTTTATATTTCTAATAGTTTTGTTGCAGGTAAATAATACTAAGTTGTTGGTAGAGACGATGTATATTACAGATGATAATAAACTGACAATATGTACATAGAAATAATGATCTTATATACTAAATAACAATAGGAAAATGTAAGGTGGGGTGACACAGTTTAGACACAGCAGTGCTTAGTAGACAATATTGAATTTGTCTTACTAGACATTATTAAATGCAATTATTATTTTGATGTATCTAGGTGACTGTGTCCCATAGTTTCATTATCTAAATAATAATTTAAGTATTATATTAATAGAGCAACGCAAGTTTCTTGCTCGTTCTTCTTGTGACGAGACAGCTTTCCGAATGAGCGGTAGATTAAAAAAATGTGATGACTATTCAAAAGTGCTTCAATGTAAGTTTATTTGAATAAATGATTTTCTATTGTATTCTATCCATTAAAAAATATTTTTTTTTTATGTACAATTGTCATTTCATTATAGTTGTACATCGTCTCAACCGACAATACAGTACTACTACAGATAAGAATCTGTGTGTTCGTATTACTGTTACTTTACTGTTATTATTATTAATTACCAGCTGTTACCGCAACTTCGCGTGGAATTATTTTTCTAAAATAAAAGTAGCCTAAGTTACACCTTATTACATCAGCTACCTGCCAAAAAAAGTCCCGTCAAAATCGGTCCAGCCATTTCAGAGATTAGCCGAAACAAACAGACCGACAGACAGACAGACAAAAATTGTTATTTTAGTGTATGTACCGTATTTATATTCATATGCATGTAGTAAAAAACGGTTATTTCAATATTACAAACAGACACTCCAATTTTATTTATATGTATAGATTATTTATGAAAATAGAATAAAACAGAATACACACTTCATACACACATCCATTGTATCCTATCCATATGCTGGCAGTCACTCTATTCTCACAAATTTCAATTTAAAAATGAATCTGTATTATTGTAAACATGTACAACATTCATTTGAAAAGAATACGAGCTGAGTTTCTTGTCAGTTCTTCTCATCTCGAAATCATTCCGAACTGACGGTAGATTTGACATATCATAAGAGTCTGTAATAGACCTACATGAATCAAGATATTTTGAATTTGAATTTGAATACCTATATATTTTAATATTAATTATATTAACAGCCATACAAGTACACGTAGAGATGTGTCAACTCGAGTTGCGGTGTATTCGAGTTAACTCGAGTTGAATTCTGCCAAGTCAAGTTGGAAGTATTCAGTTCGTAAATGATCGAATCAAGTGAAAGAGCGAGAGCATGATTCTGTCATCGAAACGACAATGACATGAAGTTTTCCAATCATTTCATATCATAATTTTCACTCGTCACAAATATTTCAATAATGATTTGAGGTCGTTATCATTTATTTTTCCTCATATTCGTCCGGTTATGTTATCATAAATGATTATGCTTCCGCGGCTTTGAAGTGCCATTTCTACTCGCCACCTATAGTTCGGCGAAGCTATATATAGATTTGTTCGAAAAATTAAAAAAACCGTTTATTCCAGGTAACTCGATACAACTCGAGTTAACTCGAATTATGTGGGGCGAAAGGGAATTGTTTTTAATGTGGATTGATAACCCCATTTCTAGCTATGTACCTGTACATGTATGTAATGACCTGACATGTTCGGTTTAATACCAGCTGCTGAGTTTCACCACCGTACCACCCGCCAGAAACTGAAATACCATCCTGATCATCTGGATGAATGGCGGTCTTCCACAGTGCGGTTTTCTAGAAACTTTTTGCCTCGCACAACCACATTGTGGAATCACCTTCCTGCAATGGTATTTCCGAACCGATATGATATTGAAACCTTCAAGAAAAGAGCTTATTCCTTTTTAAAAGGCCGACAACGTACTTGCAATTCCGCTGGTGTTGCGGGTGCTCATGGGCGGTGATAATCACTTACTATCAGATGAGCCGCAAGCAATAAAAAAAAAAAAATATTCGACCTCCACGCGGTTACCCCTGAAAACCATCGTGTTAAATTCTTGATGAATTTGTCACAATGGGCTAACTGATCTGACCTCATGCTGATCCTATTGGAAGGGGATTGTTACTAGTGATTGCTAACAATCTACCATGTCAGGTTGACCTGCACGAGGTTCCTCTTGGAAACCACCGTAATAAAATCTTGGTGAATTTACCCATGACCTCATGCTCATCTTATCATCCACTGGTGCTGCCAGCGTAAACCGTATAAAAAAAACTCTAGTTATGTTTATTACGAGTTATCACATATCTAAGTACACGCATGTATTGAATCGATAGTGCAATCGTCTTACGTGTGACAGTCCATTGTTCGAATCCGTTGTTTTCCAATATTGTTAAATAAAACAATGAACAATCATCTTTGTTCGGCTGATAGAGGTCGGGTCTCTATATGGTTATTTAATAATATATTCTGAGACCAGAAATTGCTACAACAAAATGTATTTACGTGTATATTCTGAACACAAATCTAAGGACTGTAAACGTTATTATATCCTAGTTAAAGTCATTCTTTAAATCCTTACTCCTTACTAATATAAATGCGAAAGTAACTCTGTCTGTCTGTCTCGCAATCACACCAAAACTACTGACCCTCAGAAAGGACATAGGCTACTTTTTAAGGCGATAAAAGAATAAGGGTCGTAAGAGGTTGCAAGGGGGATGAAAGATTGTATGGAAGTATCGTAATTTTTTAGACGACCTCGGTGGTCTAGCGGTCTAGCACACCGCTTTACGTCCGATGGTCGCGGTTTCGATTCCTCGCACGTCAAAAACAATTGTATTCATGAGTATGACTGTTGGTATCAGTGTGGGTGTTTTCTATGTATAATATGTGTTTATTTACAAAAAAAAATATTTATGTATTTGTATCAATTATCTAATACCCATTTTAGCTAACTTATATTGGGTCTAGATGGCGCTGTGTGAATTGTCCTGAGATTATTTTTTTTTAAACTGGAACGAAACGTTAACCATTCTTTTTTATTTGGTTTATATTAGATTAGATTATTATACATTTTTTTATTATTTAGTCGAAGTTTATTTTACACGGACGAACTCGCTAGTTAACTCTTTTTATTCCAGTAATTTTTTTTTTATCTCTTTTGAATGCGTTTGTTCGCAATTGTTTCTCGAAAAGGCATACGACCGAATTCCCCGTCTAGTTTTGTGGTGGGCCCTAAAGAAGAAAGGTGTACCAGGGAAGTATGTAGATCTGATACGTGCCATGTACATTCGGTCTAACACATACGTCCGATCGGCGGTAGGTGCCTCCGATAAGTTCAGTGTGGCAAACATTCGGCTCTAAGTCCTTACCTCTTCCTCATTGTAATGGATGCTCTGACATCGGACATTCAGGACGAGGTTGTGTTGCTGTTTGCCGACGATATTGTGCTTGTTGGTGAGGATGGAATCGAGGTCCAGAGGACTAGATAGATGGCAAGAAAAACTGGAGAGTGTTGGCTTGAAGATCAGCAGAACTAAAACTGAATACCTATTCTGCGATTTCGTCTCTCCATTTCAAGCCTATCTATCTAAACGGTGTAATGCTTCCGGTCTGCTCCGATTTTCTATCGTTCAGTTATTCAGAACAATGCCGACATCAGTTATCTATTGGATG